AGGTGCAGTAGCCTTGTAATTATGATGACCAAAAAAAAGAGAATAAAAATTCATCAACTCTGGACGTGGTGGGGCCAGCTAATCATTTGCCAATAGTTAACGACACTGCCTCGTTATCTGTTAGCTGACAGGCTGTCAATCAAACTCCCTACGTTTCTAGCGTAACTGACTTGCCTGCGCACCGCCGGTACGTGGTTTACGTACGCCTGTCACGCAGTCCACAGACGCAAGCCGCACAGACGCTGTTTACTCCACCAACGCAACAGTTCTTAGCGGCTTTTTTTGACCTATATCTTCCTCGCAGTTAGCACAAAGTTTGTTGCAATGGCAGACAAGAATCCAGGAGCAGTTAGCCGCAAAAGAAAGTCCGTTTTTGAGGTCGCTGAAAGAAGAAGACAAGGGGAAAAGCAGCGAAGCCAAACTAAGGTGATTCTTATAGATTCATTCCAGCGATGGCGCGACTGAAGCAGACGCAGAGTCTAAAGACTGACGCATTGGTCGCCAAATTACTCCTGGACAGGTCACTTCTGCTTATTATGAAAACGTACTTTATTTCCAAGAGCTAGACAAACGTTTTTCAGGACACGAAAGCGATATCCTATGTCTGAAAACTTAATTTTCAAGGCAAAGAAAGAGTCGGCTTGCTGCTGCATGTTGTAGCTAGTTCATTCGCACGGAATCTCCGCGCAACCTTCTCTGCACCCCTTTCCTGCTCCTCTCCCCGCTGCCCGTTCCGCTCTTCCCCCTGCTCCTCACTTCTCCGGGCACGAAATGTCCGCGCACCCGCTCCCCTCTCCTCTCTCCTCTCCTCTCTCCCTGTTCCGCGCTTCTCCCTGCTCCTCACTTCTCGTCCGCGAACGAAATGTCCGCGCACCCGCTCCCCCCGCTCCTCACTTCTCCGCCTTGCCTAACCAACACTGTAGTTAGTTGTTTACAAGTCATGTGCAGCGCACCGGCTGTAAACAAACCTGTTTCTGGCGTAAAGAGGAGGCGGGAGGAGGCGTTTCTACGTAGGGAGCTGTAGGGGAGGGGGGGTAGTTTCACGCATGCGCAACATTTGAAAAAGGACAAACAGTCGCTGGATTTCTCGTTCCTTGGAAAATCCTCTATACAACCTTTAAAATTAATATAAATTGCAAAAACCAAAGCTATATTTGGTACTTTGGTTTAAAGACTTGAAATGACTTGAAGCTCAAAGCAGATGACTTGACTTGACTTGGACTTGACTTGGACTTGACTTGGACTTACGGGCCAGTGACTTGAGACTGAACTCGGACTTGGCTTGGGACTCGGACTTGAGGTCAAAAACTTGCGACTTACTTGAGACTTGCAAAACAACGACTTGGTCCCACCTCTGTCTGCTACTACTATGAACTTATTTACTACTATAAAGAATTTTACTTTACCCTGCATTGTTTTCTATTACATTATATTTGCAACTTAACTTATTATAACCAATGTATAAAAAAAAAAAAAAATTTTTTATTATCACTATTTTTGCATGAAAATCAATACATTTCAATACTTCAGTCAATATAACAATATTCTGGTCCTGCAGTTTACATCACACTTTCTGTATTAACATTTGAGTGTGTATAGAGTTGTTATTTATAAGGACTGATAATAAATTTGACAGTGCTGATATTACTTCCATTACACTTTTTTTTATTGACATCACAACCATTTATATGAAAACACCCTAAAGGAGAAGGCACAGAGTAGGTTAGCTGGAGATTTACGAGTTCATTGTGAGTTCAATCTGCAATTTTACTTACAAATACATTTCTTTCTCAGCTTTTCTCAGCTCCACTATTATTATTGCTGTCTAATTCACTAATTTAACAACAAGAAAATATACACATAGACAAACCATTGCATCTGTTACTTTCCCATTAGTTGAACATCGCCTGTCTTCTCTCTATTCACACGTTTTGAACACGCTGATATATTTATGGGCCAGGACCTACAAGATCATCTGGTAACTCGTTATTCATTAATGAACACACAGTCATCTGATCCAGCACAGGTGTAGTATCCATTCAGACATTATGCCTCGGAGACACTTCCCTGAATAGTTGTTTGTGTCACTACATTCTTCACACTTGTTTTGTGGTGCTTAATCTTTTATACTATTAGTTAAATTTTACTTCTCCTCTACCTATTTGGATTGTAATGACATGGAGCAACCTGAACCATTTCACACCGTTTTAAACAAGATGTTAACCATCAGGTAAGTAACTGCCCTGGACCGTATTCAGCAACAAATTATTAAGTAATTTAAGCATAATAAGACTGGGTTTATTAGAGCTGTTTCTTATTACTTTTATCCATTACTTCTTCTTACTTCTTCTTCTTGCAATAATATTGACACCTCCTGGTAGTAATCAGTGCTTTATATTTTATATATCTGCTGATGGTTAATAGTTACATTAATGATCAATTCCAGCATCTTATTTATCATTATTTAATTGTATTTATTTTATTTCTTTATTTGGAAAAGGGGCAGTACTTAATAATGAACATGTAAATATGTCTGATTACAGATTACAGCTTCCATTTGTTGTTCCCTGACAGGTTTAACACATTTAACAAAAAAAAAATCACAATGTCACAAATATTGAGACCACAGGCAAAGAGAACTTCATATATTGGGACAGCAGACTGAATACAGTGCAGGGTCGAAGCAAGGCAGGGGCAGACAGGAGCAATTCATAACCATAAACTCAGAAGTGAAGTTACAATTCATGATGTTTTTTTGCTTTAAGAATATTTATAAAGTGCTATAGTGGAATGACCTAAAAATAAGATGATATATTGCAGGTACACTAAAGTGCTGAACTGAGATCTTATGAAATGTGCTTATAGATTTGTGTTGATCCAAGCCACTCCTTTAAATTACTTTTGAATGTGGTGAAGCCGGTGAAGTAGTTTTTCTCACAGTCTTTAGAGGTAAATTATCATCATGGATCAGGATTAGAGTTTAGAATAGAATACAAATAATTATCTGTAGTGCAAACTTTGATGGCAAATAGTCTGAAAAGCAAAAGTTATTTAGTGAGTCTAATATGTCAATGACTTTGAATTTAATTATATAAGAGGGCACCAGTGGCAGCTGAACCCTACTGCCATAAATGTGTTTCATGGTCAGTGGCCTGAAGCAGCAACATCCACATTTCACATGTACTCTTTACAGCAGAGCCTGTTATGAAGGACCCTTAAAATGTCTCTCAAATCAGTAGAAAAAAACAGATTTAATTCAGACATCATTAAATATGTTCAAAGAAATAAAATATTGTAAACAGTTGCTGGTTGGAATGGCCTATCCTGGTGCACTCACTGAGCTGGAGCAGGATGGTAAACTGCCTCGTCTGTGCTGTTATCCAGGCCACTGCCCTCAGTGCCAGTACTTTGTCTAAACAAGCGGCAAAAACACAGCGCCGCCTGTTTCTGTCCAGCATTACTGTCTTGGGAACTTTTCAACATTTGTTCTCACACATTGTAATTCGATGCTTAGTCCAAACAAATATAACACAATATATGACAGAGGTGGGGACTTGCAAGTCATGACTTGGACTCAAGTCAGACTTAAGTCACTATTTTTAGGACTTGAGACTTGACTTAATAAAATGAACTAAGACTTGGGACTTGACTGGGACTTGAAGGTCATTGACTTGGGACTTGACTCGGACTTGAGGCCTGTGACTTAAGAAGACTTGAGAAGCACTTTTAAATCTGAATTCTTTCTGTTCTGACCAGAATGATCTTCTCAAGACATTTAATAAAGAAAAAATAACTAAATTAATTTCTACAACTCTCATATACTCTATAAATACTCATATATAAGTATAGTATGATTTTTTTTAAAGTACATTTTTTAAAAGTCATATAAATTGCAAAAATCAAAGCTATGATTGGTACTTTGCTTTAAAGACTTGAAATGACTTGAAGCTCAGAGCAGACGACATGGACTTGACTTGGACTTATGGGCCAGTGACTTGAGACTCAATTTAGACTTGCCTGTATTTGACTTGGGACTTGACTCGGACTTGAGGTCAAAGACTTGAGACTTACTTGAGACTTGCAAAACAAAGACTTAGTCCTACCTCTGCGATATGATAACAGGATATAACAGCTGAAACGTTAAGATATTTCACAGTTGTTGTGGCCATAGATTGTTTCCTTAATATGTTTGAGATAGAGATTGAGCCTCGATTAAGTCTTTGGCAATTTATTATTGACAGTTTAACTTTATAAACATTTGTATGTATTTATTGTTTGTTTGTTTTTATCACAAATTAATGAGTTGAAAATATTAATGCATTGTCAAATTAAAGTTAAAACCATTCATGGAAATATAATTGAATGACATGATATAGAAATAGCATATTCATGTATTTTTCATGGTCGTACAACTGTCCATCATTTATGAATAAGTTGTGTGTGAGCTCATGGGATTAGACGCGAGAGGGCTGTAATCGCTTTGGAAATGCTGTATGCAGTGCACCGGGGGTCTGGGTGGAGCTTCGGGACTCGCTGCTGAAGTACTGTGGTTTCGTGTAGGATTTTCCCTCGAGGAGCTGTGGAAAGACGCATGCGCTCTTCTCTGCTCAGTCTGCATCCAGAGCGCACGAGCAAATAGGATGAACTTGTCGTGTTACCTGCTTAAAGGCACCGCCGTGACGTGGGAAGGCTAAGAAAGAATACGCCCCGAACTGGGAAGTTTGAAACGACGCAGGAGTATCTGACTTTACTGGAAAAATAACAACGCGTGGACTTTGCGGATAAAAGACGCACCGGACACCCCGCGCGCAAGTTGTTGGAGATGCGGAAACCGTTCTACAGATGATTAAAACCTGGATTCTAACTAAAATGCGTATGTACCCGTGTAATTAACAGCATGCCTTGGTTTAAAAGAAGCGTTAAAATGTTTCTACACGGAGTGACACCAACGCATCCTGAACTTTTACGCCTGTCTTTAGTTCTATCTCTTATGCTATGAGTCGTTTTGTTGATCCTCCATTAGGGACAAGCAACGACACTGGCACTAGATTCTGTCATCATGTCCAAAGTGATACAAAAGAAGCACCACTGGATCCATAAAGTGAACGAGTGCGCTGTAATCAGGGACGCATGTGGGGAGCTGAACGTTGAACTCCGTGGTGGGGCAGAAAATGGAGAGTTCCCGTATATTGGTGAAGTTAGGGAGGATGCTGTGCTGTACCAGGACGGTAAACTGTGCGAGGGGGAGCTTCTGCTGGAGGTGGAGGGGCTGTCCGTGGCCGGGTTACCCCTCTACGACATCTACACTGTGATGAAGTGCTGCAAGGATCCCATCAGGTTGAAAACTGTGCGTCAAGGTGAGATAGATAAACTTCCCTAACGCGCCATACAACTGATTTTACTCTAATAAAGGTACAAAAATAATACCTGGTTAGGTCCCGTTTAATCTTTGGTTTAGTTATGGTTTATTTTGTTCCTATAGTTCATGTAAAAGGCTTAGGTATAATAGGCCTTAGTAGGTTTGCCTTAGTTCAGTTCTGTTATGTCTGATTTTGATCTCATGGTTTAATCACCCTAATATATCTGGGTGTTGTTTTTTTTTTCATTGAGCATCTTAATACTGTTCAATAAAACCTTAGAATTAATACTGACTAATTTCTAGGTTTTGAAATTGTCATTCAGGGCATAGTTATATCAAACAGGCAGGATTGGTTACTGTTTTGAATTGATCTCAAATTATGTTGTTGGTTGAGCAGATTTTGACATGAAGGACAGATCTCCAGCCTCAGTTTATCTCGCATCTCTAAAGCCATAACAGAGTCCTGGATTAGGCCAAAACTGACTGTAGTGATACAAGCATCCACACACAGACTGCACATTGTTGAACACTTTGTGATGCTGTCACATGAAATGAACAAAACAATACACTTTGATATAAACTTTCTTAATGACTATTGCTGCTAACCTCTAAACACTCCCCAGTTCTAAGTCCCTAAGCATTGGTTCTCAAACTGTAGTAAGAGTATCAACAATGTTGACGTCAAGTGGTTCCCATGGTTTGGTTTGATTACATCTTGTGTCTACATGGTATAGTTTTGGTTATGTGGTTAATTGTCCAATAGATTTTGAGTCTGAGTGATTTTGAGTTTTAGTTATCCATCCATCTATCCTCTTTAGAAGTGAGATTTTATCCTGATTTAATCCTTGCTTATGATTTCTACTCAGTTTAAAAGATGTTTCCCAGTGAAGTCTAATGAATATAACTAAAAGTATTTCATTTATAATACTGATTATTTTATGCAACATATTAATAACAAACATGTTACTTATTAATTGTTATGCTCATATTTTCTTTATTAAAACGATATATCCTTAATAACTAGTTACTGCCCATTGAAACTTTTAGCTTTTGTTCAGCCTTAGTCATTGTTTTGTTTTTATGAAGACTATTCGCCCTGTTGTGAGTTTGAGTGTGCGTGTTGGTAGAGCTGACCCAGTGTCCACGGTCTACTGCACATCTGTCTAAGAGATGGCCACTGGGAGAAGGACAGCACTGATCCCCATGTGAATTCTGAACGTGCAGAGCTTTATGCATTTGTTATTCCCCTTTGACTGCGTTGGACTCGTTCTTTGTTTAATTTATATTGCTGGTTCATCTCAAACTATGCTGTGATTGGTGCTTTTAGTGCTACTGGCTCTTTAGTACAGTTTTGGACTAGGTCTCATTTAGGCCCATTTATGCCTGGTTTCCTTATTTCCTTATACACGTTGAAATGGTATTAAATGTGTTGTTGTAATATTGTGGTGGGGCAGCAGTGGCTCTTGTTGTGTCCTTAGGCAAGACACTTCACTCACATTTCCTACTATGAATGTGTTTTGTGAGTGAGTGTTGGGGGGGCGATTGGCCTTTTATTAAGAACTATTATTATTATTTTTATTATTAAACGCACATTTTGTATCTGATTAAGCTAATTCTAAAGTAGGAATAAGACATTGTTCTTAAACTGCTGCTTTGCACTTGACCAAATAGTATTTCCACTGACTTCCGGCTGGTTTTCCAGCATTTTCCATCTTTATATGCCTGCGATTCCAATTTACTCATAGTTTCACTCACACTGTGATTGACAACGGCAGCAAAACTGGGAAAGAAAATCATTAACCACTCCGTTATGTAAGAAGCGTTTTGTTTTGCTTGTGCACTGTGTGTCCATTAGGGAACTTCAACATGAGCTGCAGTCTCCACCCCAGAGACAGGGTTCAGCACAACAGGGCAGGCTGGGGATGCTCTTAGTCCAATCTAACACGTGTGGGCCACATTACTGTTAATGTACTCCAAGGATTTGAAATATTTATACTGCTAAATGGGTGCACTGGTCCATCTTAGAAAACCCTTAGATAGTTGTTAAAAATCATGTTTCTGTGAGAATTACATTTGAGGTACCATACTTTTGATTGTGTTGGTAATGTTTTGTAGTGATTCAGCAGATTCACATCAGTTTAATCCAAATGGACAGAAGTATATAACTAAATATATAACTACATAATAATTATATAACTAAATAAGGAGAACCTAAGCATCGCATGACAATCAATACTAGTTGTGTACTAGTACTAGTGCCTAACTAGCCCTAACTAGCCCATAAATTAAACTACTAATACTGCAAGTACTTTTTTATTGCTGTCAGTACTACTACTCTTCCTAAGATTTTGTCTGGGTTACTGCTGTCCTGGACTAACCATGGTTTTATCCGAAATTAGTGTTCTTTCTAATTTAGTCTAGTTTTAAAGCCAAGATTGATAACCATAAAATGAATCATAAATCATATAATACTGATTAACTTATAACACTAGCTAATGTTGCAATGGTTTAACTTGCTTTTCTCATTAAATATTACATTTTCTCTAAGATATATCTTTAATAAAAGTATTGTGTTACTTCCCTACCAATGCTCATTAGACCTGACAAAACCTCCATTGTACTTTCTCCATGTTGGGCTCAGACTTCTACAGAGCAGATGACAGATGCTTGGACGCTCTCCTCTCCTGCCTCTCCTCCTCTCCTGTTACACGGGCTTTGCATTTTAACAGGAAACCCAATCAGCGCTCAGGTACAGGTGTGTGTCCCGGTCAGGTATGCAGCCCAAAGCCCACGGAGTCTAAGCATTACACCCCTGTATCCCTAACTCTGCCATTTTATTAATCTGTGTAAACAAGCCTTCAGACTGCAGAGGGGGGGGGCAGGCGTGGGACAGGATTTTCCATAGACATCAAACATTTAGTATTTACACTTGCATAATGATACACTCTGAAAACTTCCACTCAAGGCCTGTGAAGGGCTGGGTGTGCAGTACTTATTTACTATGTACACGTTTGGAGAAGTAATAACTATATACTTTTTACTTCAAGTGCTTTTATTGCTGTCATGTCCATGAGTTTATGATGAGGTTGAAGTTCAAGTGGGGTAGGGAGAATTCAGAGGACTTTGACCCACTGGTCTGTTGTATGTTCAAGAGTGCTTCAGGTCCAATGAACTTTAACTAAACAAGATCTGACAATGAAACTTGACAGTTTATTTTTGGGTATTAGTGAATGTATCTGTGTGTATTTACACAGTACTCATTGGAGAATGAGTGAAATGCAGAGGACAAATTTTCCACGAAGACAAAAAAGTCTACAGTACTAAGTTCTTTTCAGGGAGGTTTGAATATAATATAACACCTCTTGTTCCTATAGAGGCCTACATGTTTACATATTTACTGTTTACTATGATACACTTCTCAAATTGTAGATATTATATAGGGTTATATTTCCTATATGTCTCAAATGTTTTGTCATTTACAATATACATTTTTAATTGGTCATGTAAACTTAACCATGAACATCAGATCAGTTGAAAAGAATCAGTCACAAACCCTCACTCTTGAGTACTGTTCCAAACACCCTGTGGCATCTTCCCACACCTGGGTTGACTTGCTGTTGTGCTGCTGTTAGTTTGACCCCAAACGGACAAACTGCCCCGGGCCTGTCAGACATTCACTCTCCTAACGCCATACGGGGGAACGGCCCTACCCACAGATGCTTGGGATTCCTGAGAGAGGGGCTAAGAGTTCACTGATAGCTACACTTTAATGCCTAATAGGCCTGTCAATAGCCCATAATATTTGGGTTGCTTCTTTTAAATGCGTAATATTAGCCCTTGCCCTCCATGTGATTATTATTCTGAACAAATGGTTTGGTGGATTACAATTTCTTTTGCTGACCTTTAATTATTTCTGTGTCTAGAATTTGCCACATTAAAATCCAATGATCTGTTATGATTTTTTATTTTTTATTTGCACTTTCAGTATCAGTTCTTTGGAAATGTTCTGTTGCGTTTGGCCTTGGTTGACTCTTTACTACAAACAAAGGTGAGAACGCCACCACAAAGACTGTTATTGAAGTCTGAATAAACTGCTGTGTTATTTCGACTTTGCCTCTGGCTGTTGTATCAGTGGGACAAATGTTGCAAAGTAGCTGAGCACAATGGCAATTAGCAACAGCATTATATTAGATCTTTGGTGCTGATGACCCTGTAACAAAAGAAGTAATGGGAGCTATTGCTGTTGGCATTTGGAAAAGGTACTACATCAAGCCTCTGAGGATGCACTAGGCCTGTTATGATAACACATTTTGAAGTACGATGTATTGCTAAAGTAAATATAGACGATAAATGATAATATTGAAACAGATTTATGACACTGACACTGTATGCTAAAAGCAGATTTAAACCACAAAAGCTATTATAAATCTACAATATTGTTAAAAAATTATGAGCCGCAACAAATAAATAGCAGAATAAAAGACTTAAGTACTTAGTTTGTATCTGTAATGAGCCAATTCAAGCTTAAATCTTATAGTACTTCTAAAAATATCCCAAAATTTCCAGTAGTGCAAAGAAGAAGTATACACGATAACTACTGAGCTTTCACATATAGAAAGATAAGTTGATATATCATAATATCAAATATCAATGCCAGGCCTAGTAAGCTCATTCTAAGTCATAGCACGTTTTCTCATCAGTTAATAAAAAAATGTCATGTAAAATATTGTATCTGAAGCGGGCATCATTTATTGGAGCAGAAACAGCTGTGTGCCCGGAGGCTGTCAGCTTTGACTTGTGTCCACACAGACCTTCCTCTAATCTATTGTCACGTTTTCAGAGCTCCTCGGCAAACAATAGCACAATACAGCTCGCCATAACGTGTTCAAAGGAAATCTCATTGTTATAGTAGTCTCCTGTACCTAACAGCTCTGTCATGATACTAATATTTCAAAGTTAATTTTGATATCTCAGAAAAGGCTTGATAGTTTATACAAA